GTGCACAAAATTATTTCTGTTGTGCTGGCGTGTAGAGCCTAGGAGTAAAGAGAAAATATTAAATGTGAATAAATGACTCGTTTATTCATGATATTAAAGGTGGAGCCGAGCCGCTATGGCGACCCTTTCGTTTTCGCCACATTCCGCTCTCTGTGCTCGTGGTTGGCTGAGGAGACTTCCTGTCTTAAGGAGGAAGTGACTAAACTTCTGCCATTTCTGATCAACTACACCCGAAGCCACCTGCAGGGTGGGATCTTGGAGCATAGCCTCGCTGACTGGATGGTCAAGATGTCAATTGGTGAGGACAGGGGCGCGTGGACGGGCAGAGAGGCTCTCAGGTAAAGATGAAATCTGAGAGGAGATTGGTAACATTTAGAGAAAAGGTGCAGGTTTTATGTTGCACTGCCTCTTTTCCTTTTTCCTCCTCCCTAGGTATCTCCTCCCAGCTCTGTGCCACCTGTCAGCAGAGGAAGTTCCCAGGAAGGTGTTGCTCGATGTCGACACCCCGGCCCTGCTGGTGGACTTCCTGTCTCAGAGCTGGACTTTCCTCAGGGGGAAAACCAGTGCCGCATCCACAAGGGATCCCAGCATGGAGACAGCCTGCTCTGCTTTGCTCAACTTCACTGTTACAGAGCCAGAGAGAGTCAGGTAGCTGGTTTATCATCATAATCATCAATGTGACAAGCAAACCGTCTGTTTCTGAGTGTCTGCCAAATGTTTATGAGCAGTACTTATCACACCATCTGTGTTTAAAAATGCAAACCTGTAAACTTATTGTTTTCTAGAAAGGACTCATGTTTCAGAAGCCTTGAGGTCCTTCTGAGTGAAGCACTCCCCCTCTTGGTGAATAAGCCCCGCCTCCTGGTCCTAACAGCAAATTGCTGCACTCTGGGACTCATGATTGGCAGATTAAAGGAAGGAGGTGAAAGTGGCTTTTGGTTCTTTATACTCTTAGGTTTGGGGTTTCTTTGGGGGGGTATAATTTTTGCATAACCTTCAAGTAATTTAATCTAGAAATGCTCTGTATAGAGATTCTGCAGTGACATATCTGCACACTGCTTAAAGCTATTAGCTACTGGAACAACAGCTAGTTTTTCAGGGCTTTCCAGTGTAACCACGGGAATCTATGCCATGATCTCGGTTTCCCTGAACTTAGTGTTGGCTCAAACTGCTCATAGTTTACAAGTGTAAATGTATTTAAAAGGCTAAAGATGGTAAATTTTACACTTCCTACAAATGGAAAGTTAAAAAGCTTGCTGCACCCAAAATCTCTTCCCTTCCCTACAGTTTGTATTTATTTATACACAAAACCAGTTTATAGAGATTACCCTGCACTGACTGGCAAAGCTGTGTCGCCATAATGCTAGCAAGCCAGCCAACAAATGTTCCCATCTCAATCCTTTGCTATAAGGTGATCACAAACTTAAGTAACCTTGAGCTGTTGACATTGTGCCGTTTTCTTTGTTTTGAACCACCACCCACAGAACAAACTCTTGCACACACACACAGGCAGATGTGGCCCAAAGCTCCTTCTGCTTCTGCTCAGCAGTTCTGCTAGAAATTTACAAGAAGGAAAACTTGCAAGAATCTAGTTGCAGTCTTTCTCGTAGTGGTCCTGTAAGATTCCTAAGCCTTGCACAATGTTAGTCTATGATGTGAAACATGACAAATGTGACCCATTTAGATGTAAACAAATAAATTAATGGACTTTAGTTATTTGTTAAATAGTTTTCAACAAAGCTCTT